GAATGATAATAATAATAATAATGTATTAGGGTTTGGGGGTTTGGAAGAATCCATATTTATAGGAAGGGAGGAGGGAGCTTTTGAGGGATTAGAAAGCTACCTGTCTGGTTTTCTGTCGTCTTCCTCATCATCATTTATTATAATCTTCTTCACCTTCTCTCTTCCTCCTTTTTTTCATTTTCTTTTTCACTAATAAATATGCAATCTTTGTGTGTTTTCCATCATTTATGCCTTTTTTTTTTATTTAAAAAAAGCTTTTAGGAATGTAACGTTACGGATCTGGATGCTGTGTCATGATAAATAGGTCGATGCTTGTATTGCTCTCCCACAATCCTGTTTTCACGATTTCGGCTGCTCCTATTTTGCTTGCTTGCTACTACGAGAATCGCTTTTGCGTTCTTTTCCTTTGAATGTTTCGGTCGTCAGGTTGTCTCTTACCTACCTATGGATTCAATAGTAGTTTGAAAGGATATAATCTTACCCGATTCTATGAAGAAAATTACATTTTTCTATGCATTTGAACTTATCTTTTATCAGTTGAGATTTACTTGAGTTGACAAGTGCTTCTGACGTTTAAACCTCAACCTTGCTAACAGAGAACAAACTGTATTAACCCGTTGAGTTATACTCAAATTGACAAATCACAAATCACTTGACTACACTTTGAACCTAAACCTAATTAATATTCGCAAATATATTTGCATTTTGTGTTTTGAATTCCCATGAGTACAATAATAGAGAGAGACCATTTAATTGGGCAGTTGAATTAGGTGAGAATGAGAAGCTAAATCAAATGGGTATTGGATTAGGTTGACGTGTTGGTAGGCTTTTAGGCACCCCCACAAAAAGGCTATTGTCCTTAAACTTGGAGGACATCCCACCCCACCTCACCTGTGCTTCTCTCTCTCTCTCTCTCTCTACCCCAAATAATACTATGAAATAGACTGTGTATGTGCTATCAGATGGTTTAATGTCCCTTTGCATAAGGACACCATGTCCTCTCCATTTCAATACAAACTTTCAGTACATCAAATCTAATATCAACTCAGACATTGATGAACAATTGGTGCTTTTCCAGGAAAAGAATAAAAAAAAAGGAATCCAATTTGTGTTTGGATTCCCACAGAGCAAAACCATTCATTTACATGGAAGAATTAATGATTATTTACTATGAATTCAAAATCAAGAATTCAGTACAATTAATTGCATATCAGATCAGAGAAAAGAACAGAAGATAAGAGTATAGACAAACTTTAGTAGCCTGTCAAAAATCAATGAAAACTACCAGTGTGAAGATACCTCATTCGTTTCTTTGGCGAGTGGTTAGGCTAATGTGTACGTTTTCTTTTCGATGAATCCTTTGGCGAATGATCTCTGGACTCAGTCGGTTCTGGTTTCTGTTTAACACTTAAAGGCTTTGATGGTTCCTCAAATTCAGATACTGAACTTCTTGGTTTGCTACTTCGGGTAGAGCTTGTTCTTCTGCTGCTCGAGTTTGGGCCTCTGGATGTGGTAGTTTGACGACTCAATGAAATTCCAGATGATTTCTTATACACTGATTTCAAAGGGGTGGCCTTTTCGAGTTCTTCGGGTTTAGGGTAATGCACGAGTGATATCCGCCGGATAATCTTTCGAACTTCAAGGGTCAAAGAATGTAACAAAAAATAAAACAACTTTTATTAGGTAGATCTTGAAATGAGATACATAAAGTACCTACATTGTTTGTTAGCATTCCAACACATTTAGACACGACAGAAAGCTGAATGCAGCATGTTAGCAGATTATGGCTGACTCATAAATTAAACTACAGACGTTAGAACATACAGAATCAGAATCACTGGGGATGGAGGAGAAGCTAGAAGTCTAGGCATTAACGCCACTTGTATTGAAAGTGAAATTAAACTACCATCTCTTAATCTTGGAAAAATGACGGCAAGAAGGCTTTGAATCGAAGGGGTACTGCCAAAGGAAAGCGTCGGTGGTTTGATATTGCAAAAAACAGCAGCTTTTTTCAATTCTTACATTTTAAAGCTAATACAGGTACCGAATCAGTATCTGGAATAATAGTTGGTTGGATGACAATATTCTTTGGAGGATTTTTCCTGCATTGTTTAGTATTTCCATGAAAAAAGAAGGCACTTTAGCTGATTGCTGGAGCTCGGAAGCTAATGACTGGGACCTTGGCCTTAGAAGGGGCCTTTTTGACTGGGAAAGCTGGATTGAGCTGATTGAGAAAATTCAGTAATTGGACCCTCTCGCCCTCCGCTTGCTGCTTATGTCTCAAGTCAAACAAGACCTTCTTCAATTAGTTTCTTCATTGTCTAACCGCAAGTAGTGGCTCGTTTTTTCTAATGGATATCTTTGATTTTATTAACTGTTTGCCGAAGTCTATAGATGATTGGCTGGTGGAAGTCTTTTCAATTTGTGACGGTCCAGACATGCTCAAATTTTGTGGAAACATGAGGCTCGGGCTAATTCATGGCATCTTTGGCTGGAAAGAAACCAGAGAGTCTTCGAAAATAAGTCTGCTTCTTTTGAGTTTTTTTTAGGAATGTACAGTTAACTTCCAGAAAATACTTTTGTAACGACGACCTTTCCACAATTGTGAATAACTGGAAAGCTTTCTTATAGTTTTTTCAGGAGGGGAGGCCCCTAGGCTGTTCTTTCTTTCTTCTTTTTTTTTAATCCTATATCATTTCTTATCTAACAAAATCTACCATCTCCTAATCTAAAATATAGGAGCTCGTAGGGCAGGACTGGTACAGATAAAGTACAAGCCAGATATGACAAAAAGAAAAAAGAGAGTAACTGCAATGAAGAGACTGATGACACTAACATGTGAAGTAAAACAGATTCAAAATGAAGATATATATATTTACTGCAACAGGAAGAGGGACATTTACCTAATTTGCTGTCTGATGAAGATGGTAGAAAGACAGAAGCCTCAGGTTCTTGAGCCACACAGCTGACCACATCATATGACTTTCCTAATGATGGAAACAAAGAATAAATTGAAATTATAGTAAAAATAAAATGAAAATGAATAAAATAGAATGGTTATAATTCACATTCAAACAAAATACTTCAAGTATATTCATGCACCAACTGTTCTTTGAAAATCTGATGATAGATTAATTCAACAAACCACGAAAAATGGATGTCAAGAGAATATTACCAGATGATCCATTAAAGCTGCCCAAATGTCCATCTGGATGAAGTTGAAGAGAAATCTCTTGCCCATCAAAATCCGGGGACTACAGTACCCATTGAAGAAAAAGAGTAAACCCCTCTGAAGTTAAAGAGTATTTACAATGGCTGCAAAAAACTTCCATCTCGAAAAAAAATATGTTTATGGGCTGTTCATTTTAATTTCTCCTAAAGTGCAGGTAGCTATACTGTTTTCCTAGATTAGTTTATAAGATCTTACTTGGTTAGCAGGCCATTGAATAAGCCAAAGCTCTGCACAGTTAGACAAAGACATATCAGTAAGAAATTCCCTTTTGTCTTCCTCAAACTCTGGTGGGGGTTTGTAGCGTTCTACACTTTTACAAGCATCAACCTCGCTGCTCATACTCACAACAAATTAAGTCCCTACGCCAACAAATAGAAGAACAACACTTGGATATCAAATAACGGAATGAGCAAATAGATACAAAAGAACTAACATAACCAATTGAAAATTCGGGCATTTTGTCAAACAATTCATGTGCAAACTACTTCATTCAAATGTTTGCAATACAAGCTTAAATTCCACATGAAAAACAAAACAAACTAACGCAATTCTTTTACTCTGTTTGAAATTCAACTAAAAATCAAGATGGGTAGTAACAAAACAACCAAAGAAAACGATCAGAGGAGAGGGGAACCTTACCTCTAGCCTGTAGAAACCGAAAAAAAAAAATGGATTTTTCAACAGAGTGAGACAGTGATGCTGACAAGAAACATATACATTTAACTATCAATTCTATATGAGTTAACCCATTGAGCTATGGTGTGCGCTTCGCAATAAGAAGCCAGAAACAACCAACAATGGAGGTGCAAGTTTCAAATCTTGCAAGACTATACAATTCAAATATCTGACTTTTTGTTTTTCGGGAAAATTGGTATCCGATAGATTACATCGATCGGTTCTAGACAAATTCATGGCGGGTGTGTGGTGCCTTCTAAGATTTGAGAGACCAGAAACAAGTCAATTTCAGAACATAGATGATCAGAGCCTCAAATGAAAGACATGCAATGAATCAAATGGCAGAGAGCAGCACACGGCAATTCGAAATGCCCCAATTTGCGGCATAGCTGATCTTTTTTCCGTGACTATTACGTTTATTTCATGGTTCAAGTGAGAAACAAGACAAATGGAGAATGAAAGAATACCAATACCAATAAGAAAACCAGTACAAACCGGTAGAAGGGAGGCACCGGCGGCAAGAGAGGAAGAAATACGGCAGCGGCAGCCCTGAACCGGAGAGAAGCGGCGGCGACACTGATCTGCTAGGACGCAGGTGAAGCTGGCGGGAAGAAGAAGTGGAACACGTGAGAGTGATAGGAATATCAAAGGGTAGTGTTTAGGGCTTTTATTTTATTCGATTATTTTCTTAAATATATTTTTAAGTTAAAAATAAAAAATGTTATAATGTAATTTATACTTAAAAATTAAAATAATATTATTTTTTTTGCTATTTTGAGCTATATTTTATTTTAGATCAAATTAATAATAAACTAGTAAGATATTTATTTTATTATTTTTTTAATGATATTTAAATTTGTATTTTTTTAAAAAAACTTAATTCAAATAATTTTATTAAATAGTGAACTAAATAATTAGTTCAAAATTTATATTTATTTTTTATAATAAATTTAAATATTAATTTGTAAAATATATATTTATTAAATTTCAGCAAGTAAAAATATATATTTTTAAATTAACCATAAGTTTATATTTGTTTTTAATTCATTCATAAACTGATGCTCTTATGCGGGATGGGAATTGAAACGGAAGCCGGATAGGAATATACAAAACTCGAATCCAAACAGCCCGAGTACAGCAGCGGATAAGCCGATACTGCAAAACTCTGCTTCCAGTGGCTGAGCGCCAACATAGGTGCAAAAGAAAAGAACCACCACCGTTCTTCTTCAACCTCTGGAGCTTTTCCTTCTCAGAAATGGCGGCAACTGCAATTATTAGTTGCTTCGCTCTTCCTTCTAAGTTCAGAAATCTTTCCCTTAACGCTTCTTCCTCTTCTATGCCCCTTTCCCCATCTTCTTCGACCCTCAGATCTCTCAGTTTCTCCTCCAACGTTTCAGTTTCCGCCTTCTCCAATGGTGATTTCTTATGGATGTCATTTTTTTTTCTTTCTTTTATGGAAAAACGGTGAATTCTTTTTGAAGGAAGTATTGAATTGCTCGACTTACTTTTGTCCATTTTCGTATAGGGTGCCTGTCTATTAGTAAAGCTCAGAGGCCATTTCGCTACTCCGTGGTCTGCGAGGCGGCTCCTAAGAAGGCTGATTCTGCTGCAAAAAGGGCTCGGCAGGCTGAGAAAAGACGCGTTTATAATAAAGCCCGGAAGTCTGAAATCAAAACCAGAATGAAGAAGGTACCTAAATTTGGCTGGTTTATATGCATTGGATTTTCGTTATTGAATCCTGTTGGAATATATTGAAATCTCTTATAATGATGTGCTTCTGAATTCGTTTTATCTTGAGAGTATTATATTAGAATGGCTATTGAACTGAAACCAAGCAGCTCAAATTCTAACAGCTTCTCTCTTTGCCTAGAAACTTATATTTGGCCTTGCAAAGTTGAATTTCTGGGTGATTTTCCTTAAGATATGAGTGAATTTCTGAAATGATCATCTGCGTCTGACTGTCCCTGAAAGGGGGACTGGATGAAATTTGTATAATTAAGAGTTGGAAGGTAGATGCTTTCAATTTTGTATTCAGTACCAGTGGACAATTGGTTATATTATATATATGTTCTTATTTTGTTTGATAAGGTCATTGGTAGCTTTTGGCTGGGATGCTTCATGTAAAAATCTGATCGGTAGAGTTCTTATTGTTCAGAAATGATTATAAACACGAAGATTACAACGGTTACTACAGGAGAACTTATGTTTTGTCTCAGACAGCTTGTAATCAAGACTTAAATGATTGGATCTTCAGTGTTATTTACTCGGGCTTTTGATATATATCGGTTAGTTTAAACTATCAAGCAACCAGACTTGAGGGACAGTTGTAAAAGGACTAAAAATAAATGTATAGAAAATGGTAAAGTTGATAGAACATTTTTGTCTAGTGAAAGATTGCTTCAGCACAATCCTTCCTGATTGGCTAGTGGTATGTTTTTAGGCAGTTTTATTGTTGGTTATGACTGAACTTTAACTAATCTCCTTCAGAATTTCCCTTTTTTTCAGTTTATAACTCTAGAAGTCTTGAACTCATTCAAGACCATTAAGGTGTTTGAATGGCCTTTGGCTTAGCTCCAGATTTATTAGAATCCTTAGTTGTGAGTATCAACGATTATGGTGTGAGATCCCATCTTGGTTGGAGGGGAGAATGAAGCATTTCTTATAAGGGTGTAGAAATCTCTCCTCTAGTAGATGTGTTACCGTGAGGTTGACAGTGATACATACGAGGCTAAAGCGGACAATATCTACTAGTAGTGGATTTAGGCGGTTACAAATGGTATCATAGTCAGACACTGGATGGTGTGCCAACGAGGACGCAGGGCCCCCAAGGTGGTGGATTGTGAGATATCGCATCAGTTAGAGAGGGGAACGAAGCATTTCTTATAAGGGTGTGGAAACCTCTCTCTAGTAGATGCATTTTAAAACCGTGAGGCTGACCGGGATACGTAACGAGCCAAGACGGACAATATCTGCTTGCAACGGGTTTAGGCTATTACAAATGGTATCAGAGGCAAACATCTAGCTGAGTGCCAGCGAGGATGTGGGAGCGGACAATATACCCTAGGGATGGGTTTGAGTGTTTTCCATTTATAATTTAGAATTCATCCTTTTCTTGTTGGAGCAGAAGAAATGATTGGCTTTCCTCGTTATGCTTCGAACTGGTAGAAGTGTTCTTTTTTTTAAATGAATCTCTAAAGGGACGCTGCTTTCTGATACAATAGGTTGGTTTCTTTTCAATGACATCCATCTGCTAAAGAACAGAACTAAATCATACTCTTCATATGGGTATACATTGTGAAGAAAAAGAAAAGATTTTCTGTTTCTTTCAAGAACTTATGAGCATACTAATAGCCTCAGTCTCATACAATTCCAGGTTATGGAAGCTTTAGATGATCTGAAGAAGAAACCTGAAGCACAATCAGAGGAAGTCCTTCCAATTGAGAAGCTCATTGCAGAAGCATTCTCAGTGATCGACAAAGCCGTGAAAGTGGGAACATTGCACCGAAACACCGCAGCACGTCGAAAATCTCGGCTCGCCAGAAGAAAGAAAGCTGTAGAAATCCACCATGGCTGGTACACCCCAGCTTCACCAGCAGCTGCCTAATGCTCTACCCTACCCTCTTTGTCTTAATGTTAATGGGGCTGAGGAACTCTTCTTCTATTTTTGTATTTAGTTCGAACCTTCCTTCTTCTATGTCTACAGTTGAGGTTTCACTTCTTTTTCATCTGCTCTTCAACTTTAAAAAATGTTTAGTTTTAGATGAAAATTCTTTAGTATTAGTATTTTGTTTAAATAATAGTATTTCAAAATACTCTTAAAAACTTTTAAATTTTTATTAATCTTTCAAACTTTTTTAAAAAAAAAATTAAAAAATACAGTATTTGTTTAAAAAATACTCATGAAATTTTAAGAGTATTATTCCTAGCTTTCATCTTTATAAAAAAAAAAAAAAAAAAAAAAAAAAAAAATTAAAAANAAAAATTCGTCAATCTACGAACAAAAATTGCCTATCAATAACTCATAAATTATCCAAACACGACTCATAAATTATTCAAAAATGTTGATTTTGAAAAGTTTACGAGTACTTCTTAAATATAATATTACTAGTAAAAATATTTTAATTTTTTAAATATTTAAATGTATATTATTTTGAAGGGTTAACAAAATTATTAATAAAACTATTTTAAAAATTTATGATTTTCATTAAAAACTAATAGTAAGAGNTTTTTTTTTTTTTTTTTTTAAGTTTAATGGACTTTTTAAATTTTTTTGAAAGTTTCATAATATTATTTAAACTTATAAAATTAAAAAGTATTTTTCTATTAATTTTTCTTTAAAAATAAAGAAAATTAAAATTCCCAAAAAAAAGGATAAAATAAAAGAAATTTATAGAATGTTCGTAGCATAATTGTGAAGTGGGAGGAAGTAGAGTTGACGTGGCAGCGTCCCAATGTAAAGGTTCGGTTTCCACCACTCCCGACCCAATCCTGTCGGTTTTCTCCGGTCTCAATCTCAAGTTGCCGTCAGCATCCGGTTGCCGGTACCATCCACGTGCCCCACTCACTCCCACCGTCCCTTTATTTACGTATCGCCACGTGACCAATTCCCTCGTCGTTTGACGCGCCAGTTGGGGCCCACTAGTATGGAGGAAACGGCGCGGCGGCTGGGGAAAGGGAAAGCGGTCAAAAGCCTCGTTGACTGAGCTTTGAATGTAGTCATCAGCTCAGCTTCCATTCAATTTCTTTCCTTTTTCCTAAACCTGCACGAGTCACGTGCGCTGTGCGTGATTTACACGCTCCTAAATTATACATATTTTCCCCCCTATATAAACCCTCCTCTTCCCCTCAAATTCACTTCATATCCATTTTTCTCGAACCAAACGGATCCTTAGTATGGCTGCCAACGACCGGTCTACTTCCACCGTCTCCGCCGCTGTGGCGTCCAATTCTGAAGAGATCAGGTACAGGGGCGTCAGAAAGAGGCCGTGGGGCCGCTACGCAGCGGAAATCCGGGACCCTCGAAAAAAAACCAGGGTTTGGCTAGGTACATTCAACACGGCGGAGGAGGCGGCGCGTGCTTATGACACGGCCGCGCGCGAATTTAGAGGCGCAGATGCCAAAACCAACTTCCCCGTTCCGAACGATTTCCAAATCATCGACATCAACAATAACTTCCGTAAATCCGCTTGTAGTAATCCCAGCCAGTGTAGCACCGTCGAGTCCTCTTCCCCATCACCGGCGCCGTTGGATCCCGCTCTCACTTACGTCCACGCGCCGTCCATTTCCCGCCCAATTTTCTTCTTCGACGCGTTTGCCCAGGTGGAAAAGAACAGTGACTTTCGCCGGATAGTTTCCGTTGCAGGCAGATCAAGAAGCGATTCGGATTCATCATCCGTTGTCGATTTCGACAGGACGAGAAAATCTCGGCCGTTAGATTTTGACCTGAATCTTCCGGCTGTGGAAGTTGTTTGAGGATACGTTTTCATTTTGATCTAATTTTCTAATGAAAATTAAAAAATTAAAAAGGTTAAAAAATAGGATTAATATATATATTTTTAAAGTTTTTAACAATATTGTCGATATATGGATGACAAAATTAATAAAAATCGTCTATTTATCATAAACAAAATGACTAAAATAGCCCCATAACATAAAATTAAACTTGAAATTACTCGAAAAAAACAAATAAATAAAATCGGTGCGAATCTTCTAAATTTATTTATTTATTTTAATCAAAAAGCAAAAAAAGATGAATAATGAACGAGTCCAATCTTATGATGCGTCTACGTGTCGATGAGCGGTGCCCTCGTCAGTAGGACCCCTAATACGTCTCTCTACGTGGCTGTTTTTAGTTGGTGTCGGATCCGGAAGTTCCGGCCAATCATTTATGTCCACGTCAGTATATGTACGGATAAGATTGATAGGTTAGCTGTTGTGGCGGTGAGGTGTCTGAATGAGACAGAGAGTTAAAGCTGGCGCGTCGACAAATTTCAAACTAGGGCTGGGGTGGCTTTGATTCTCCTGCCACGTGTAATTTTATAATTTAATTATTTTGATTTTCTCTTTTAGGCAGTGGTTAAAAGAGATGGGGCGGCTTGGCGGCGTGAGGCGGCTTTAAAGCTGTATTTCTGTTGGGCGACGTTATTAAAAAAAAAAAAAAATCCGAAAATAAAAAAAAAAAAATTTGATTTTATTATTTTTAAAAATATCCCTAATTTTTAAAAAATACAATTTGAGTTTTCAAAAGGTTTCATTAATATCTTTAAAAAAAAAAATTAAAAACTTAATTTTTAAAAATAAAAAATAAAAAATACTTTTAACGTTAGTATAATATTTTAAAAATAATTACGAGCTTTCAAGAGTAACATTAAAAAGTTTGGATATAATCTATAGAGTGTCAATAAACGGTTTTCGTTCATGATGATGAAAAATAAAATTTAAACTTATTTTAAATAAAAGTAAATGATAAAAGATAATACCAATAATTTTTTTAAATTTTTTTTTGTAAGTAATGTAATTAATATTTTAATAATTGCAAAGCAAAGTTTTAAATACCATTATAAATTGTAAATGTATCAAAATTTGTGATCAATATGATCATAAATTTATCAAATAATAGGCAATTTACCCCTTTAACAAATATCAACTATCTACTAGAAACAAAATAAAATATTATAATTTCTTTTAAAAGTCAATTAAATTAAAAAATAAATAGATATAGTAAACAATATTTAAATATAAAATTAAAAATTTAGTAACTCAAAAGATTATTTAAAGCTTAAAAATTAAATTAAATAAAGCTTAGAAATTAAATACACAAACTTTTTAATATATATATTAAAGAAATATTATCTATACTTATAAATATTTTTATTGTGTATTTTTGGGAATGAAAAAAGGCTAGGAGGCCCAATATTCAACCCATGCGCTTGTGCATCGGAACCACACCGATATCCAATGGGTCAAATCTTGCGGCTTCTTCTCACATCAACTACGGCAGAGATCGTGTCCTTCGCTTAATGGGAGATGGACGAATTTAGGGGGGGAAAAGGCGGTTACCATTTTTCTCCGGATTATACTCTCAATTCAAGCTACTTCAACTGATTACTAAGTATTTATAGGGCAGTTGTTCATTCAAGACGGCGGTGTATTCCTTTCCCCACTGTAGTTGAGGCGGAAGACGGGAGCTAAGGCGTGTGGAGTGGAGTAGGAGACCGATGGGACGGATTTTTGTTGTGGAAAGGGAAGGGAGTTCCTACAGATGCAAGTTCTGCAATACGCAGTTAGCTCTAGCCGACGATCTTGCATCTCGGGTTTGTATATATATATATATATAGATGACATTTTTCTCTTGCGCAGACGTTGTTTAACGATTAGTTGCTTGTATTGTATGTTAGAAGAGTAATTGAAGTTTTAGATGCTCAACTATGTTAGTTCTTAGATGGAGATGAATCTTCGTGGGATTTTGATTACAATTGTTTTATGAAATTAAATTGGTTGATAATTACTGCCGCTGGAACCGAGTTATATTCATTATCTGCTGTTTGGAGGAATCAATTTCTCAGGGTTGGAGAATCATTGGCTCTGCCAGATCTCATAGCATTTATTTGAACAATCAGCCTTTGAGCTTGAATTTACTTTCCGTAGTCTTGTCATCTGAGATGAGAGAACGATTTCAATGGCTGTTAATAGCTATGAGGAAATAATTTAGGGAAAGATTATGGTTTTCGCATATGATTTTTGCTGAGATTTTGTTATACAAGATAGAGAACTGTTTTTGAATTCAAGCAGCTCCATGTGTTTTATTTCTCTGAAGTTCGTCTAACTTTTTTCGCTCTTGTTTGATCAGGCCTTTCATTGCCGCCGCGGTAAAGCATATCTTTTCAATAATGCGTGAGTTCTCTGTCTTTTGGTCGGAGCTGCTGTTGGTTTTTCGCTGTTGATTTACAATTCCAATTACTATGGCACGCAGATTGGACTAATTTGTATATTAATGTTGTGGTTCGTGTAGTCTATCCACCGAACAAGGGGTCATGGTTCATGTAGCCTGTAGGTAGCCAAAACCAAGTCATAGATTTTAACCTTCATTTATAAGGACTTGTTCAATGTCATTGTGCGGATGCAAAACCCATCTTCATTATTTATACAAGAATGACATTCATGATTTAGCTGCAAAAATTGTCGTAGAGATGTTTGTTTAATCGGTAGAGTCAGGGCCTTCTACTGAATAAAGCAAGAATAGTTGTTGAAAGAGAATGAGGGAAGGAGAGAAATAGATTTCTCTCGTTCCCTAAACTCTTTTGGAGAAAGGGATTATATTCTTTGTCCTCGGCCCCGCCCATATAAACATATCTATATTAAAACTAAGTTACAAAACTAGATTATTATATATCTATCTATCTATATATAAATAAGTTTTGAAGACTATGCTGTAATATTGAAATTTAAATCTTTAGAAATTAGGTTAGTGTTATTGGATTTATTAGAATGTTTTACCTTTTTTCAAGAGTAATTATATTGAAAAATGGTAATTATCCTTAAAAAAATATTTTTTTTAGAAATATATATGGAAAATAGGAAAAATTCTCGGCAGGACACTGTATCTATAAAGAGGCAGGGATGGACACTGGGAAGTGGAAGGTTTCCCTGTTCTCGTCTCATGAACATCTCTAGTCACTTGTCAGGTTTCTAGTTGATTCATTTGACACCAATTTCCCACATGAGCTTAAGCTAGTCATATGTTCTAAGTTAAGCATGTAGAAGTCCAATATTAAGCATTGTTTCTAATTGCATGACAACTGCCTATTCATTCTAAAGCAATCCAATGTTCTGGTGGCAACAAGTCTTCCTAGTTTTAGTTGAGGTCAAAATAGGTACAAATAGGATCTTTGAAGTTTGTATAGAGAAGTTGCTATGAGAGCGTGTTTTGCAATAGTAAGTAGAGAGTGAGTGCTCAGAGAGCTTGTAGGTGGACACGACGAACCGACTTCTGTAAAAATTAGGGGGGAAAACATTGTTGAATGCAATCTCTTCGAATTTTGGAATTTGGCTGACTGAAGAACAAATAGAAAACACATCAACTAACTGTTTTCAGTCATTTAAATTCCAAAAGTTTGAAGGGGGCTGCAACAAATTGTGTACAAAATAGTAATGTTGATAGCTTTCCATGTTTTATCATTACAAAACACTCCTGCCATGTTTAATATCATTTACATTTTTGGAGTTCTTCATATAGGATAAACTTCTTTTTGGGAGCCTTGGAAGATAGGATAATGCTCTCTGGATCCCATACTGTTGCAGACATATTTTGTTGCACATGTGGACAAATTGTCGGATGGAAATACGTAAGCTCTCTGAAAAGAAATGCCAAACTTTTCCACAAAATTTGCCATACTTTCCTCTTTTCATCTATATAACTCATAATTTCGTGCAGGAAGCAGCGCATGAGAAGAGCCAGAAGTACAAGGAGGGGAAGTATGTTCTTGAAAGGTGAGGCTCTCTTATCTACAAGTTGTTTAACTTGTACTTTTTTTTCTTCTCAACTGTGTTTTTACTTGAATATTTTGTATAATTTCTTGAACCAGGGGGAGGATAGTCGACGACATTGAATTCTCGACTGGCTTCTACGTAGACTCTCGGTCTAGTATAAGTGATAGCGAAGATAATTAAGGCGTGATATTCTCGTGTTATTGTATGCAGTATATCATAATAATTACCAGATGACTATGCTCAGGTTTGCTAATAATCTAACAGTGTCTGGACTATGTAAATGCAGAGTTATTTAGATTGGCATGCTTCCACACTTCTAGTTCATTAGCTCATTTGTTCTTTATTTTCAGTACAAGTTGCAGTTCCACCAACTGATTCTCCCTTTCTAACTCTTCCGACCCACTTGACTCTGTAGCTGAGTGAATGCATCTATAGTCATATAAAGTTGCTGCAGGCACTCAAATTGTGCTGCAAGTTTTTGGTCATTGATGTTGTTGAGACTTGAGCTTTAAGAATCATTAATCTATGCATTTTTGAGCTTTGAGAATCACTAATCTATGCTTTTTGTTTTTTTTTCTCTCTTTTTTACTTATGGAGGTGGGAATGTGAATGTATGTACTTGTCTTGACTAGTTGAGTTATGTTTGAGCTCGTAGAATACTTAATTTTTAAGATTTACCAAATTCTTGACTTGACTAAGAACACTTGATTGTAGAGTAAAAGTAGAAGAGATTAGGTGTTCCCAAAACTCGAGAAGTCGAGTTAATTTTGTTTCTTTCAGGTTGATTGTGGTTCATTTGAGCCATGAAAACGGTTTACTTCACCTCAACGGCTTTTAAACTAGATACCAACTTATTAATGCAGATTGATGGATTTAATCATTCTATTGGTTTACCATTTGTGATAATGGAATCACTCTTTTCCAGTAAAAATTTATTAAGATTTGAGCATGTTTCTTGAATACCTAAACAGTGCGAGAGCTTGTTATAAACTAAAGGAAACAAATCGTCAATTAATAATAATAATGTCATAATCTGC